ATCAATTTTGGAAATGTTGACCGCATATGTGACATATCAAACTGTTTTATCCTTGACCACACACGTATAAACAAGAGCCGTGATGCGCTTTTTGAAAATGTTGCTGAAAGAGCATGCTCGATTGTGCTTCAACAGTTCTGCTATATAAGACACACCTCAGACTGGAGCTGCAGGAATACAGCTCGACATTAGGGTTCAACAGTTCTGCTTCAACAGTTCTGCTATATAAGACACACCTCAGACTGGAGCTGCAGGAATACTGCTCAACATTAAAGGGAATTTGACTACTGGGAAGTTGACGTCATCTCCTGGTCATATAGGTCACACTGGCTTGAAACTGAAGTTGGTACAGGGGAATAATATTTTCCTTATAAGGAATAATGTTTTCCTTAACGAGACATAGTGCATAATTTGCTCTTGTGATCTTGCAGAAGGCCAGTTCCAGATTTGGTGATGTTCTCTGCATACGATCATTTACGACATATTTGATTTTCCATCTGTCTATCATACTTTATTCAAATATCCCTCAATGCAATTCTCTGTCGTGTTCCAGAAATTTGATTGTCAATCTCCCAGATCTAACTGTCACATATAATTTTTTTAGTAGTTAATTGTGTATTCTCTGAAAAGGGAATACATGACTGACAATTCATGCTTGGCTGATATGTCTATTCATAGCAGTTAACATCCTGTGTTGTGCATCGTTAATGAACTGGGCCGATCCACAACAATACTGTTTTGTATTGTTGAGATAATAAACTGCCAATACACACAACCTGTTCCCAGTGAACGGCCCACATTCATCATGGTCCTTATTAACATGTGTGAGCAGTATATTCATTTCAACGTTGCTTCTGGCTAGACGACTCAAACATGGCCTACTAATGGAGGATAACGGTTTGTGTGTTATGATTACATGTTTCTTGTTTGGGCTGATGGAATCAACGACTCCCACTATGACAAGGTTTGGTCATATTCTTACTTTCAGTATGGGAATAAGTGAATATATAATGAGCTCCGTTAGTCAGCATGTATGTATGTATGTATGTATGTATGTATGTATGTATGTATGTATGTATGTATGTATGTATGTATGTATGTATGTATGTATGTATGTATGTATGTATGTATGTATGTATGTATGTATGTATGTATGTATGTATGTATGTATGTATGTATGTATGTATGTGTGTGTGTGTGTGTATGTATGTGTGTGTATGTATGCGTGCATGCATGTATGTGTCTCTGTGTATGTATGTGTGTATGCGTGTGTTTATGGCCCATGAATCGGTCTAACTGTTTTCGGTATTAATGCCTCTGGAGTATTTTCCAAACTAAACAACAAGGGTAAGTGTGAATGTAGCCTTATCCATTGAATGTATGTCAGTTTGTCATATCATAACGTCATCAAGCCCTCTGATTCATGTGTTTACGGAGCTAAATAGGATTGTATACAACCAGACGGTCGATGACAGTGCAGTTTTGAACGGTTCATGCAATACCCCCTATTGAAAACGGAATGAAATTGCCATCTGAAGATATAAAGGGACGTTTGGCATGGTAACTGTGAGAACAGGGTCAACAATGACGAGAAATGTACGTCATGTATGCATGTATGTCTGTGTGTGCGTGCGTGCGTGCGTGCGCGTGCGTGGTATTAATAGTCTTGGCACTTCTTGGCACAGTAAAAATTCTTAGAATGAAATATTTTCTTAATCTGATCTGATCTTCGTGACCTATTCAGCTGAAGCTCAGTGGGTCTTTTAATCAGCAAGACATTCGCATTGTTTCTGCTCACATTGTATATCCACTGTTTTCTTGACAATAATGTGTAGGTTTACATAATCCAGTGCTCTCTGTATCCTTTTATTGGAATAATTAGAAAGAAGAAATGTTTGTTCCTCTTATGTTTGCCTCAGGTGTATTGTTAGAAAGCTGGATCTCGCTTTGTTTGAGTGAATTTTGCTATTTTGTATTGTCATTCAAAACAACGTCATGTACCCCAAGCTTATTAGTCCCAGCACGTTCAGTCCATCACCCTCAACACCTGGTGCATTTTATTGTTGTGAATTTCGTAGATAACAACGTTTACATGAGCTCTTGTCTAATATCTGAATATATGTTTTGCTTCGAAATCGCTGTCAGTACAATAACCAATCTAACGAGAGTAGAACTGATAATGCACTTTCCCAAGTAGGTTATATACATGAAGGCATGAAGAAAGGCTGTCACGAAGCTGCCAGAATGTTCTTCCTACATGTTTTGTAATTCAAACACAGACGTGAGATATGCTAATTTTACTGTCTCAAATGAACCCAGGCCAACGGAGACACATGTCACCTCTGACATCCCTTGACAAATCGTGGGTTTATTGCCCATGAATCGGGCTAACGTACTGGTGTTGGTGCTATTGTACTGGAGTATTTCCCAAACTAAACAGCAAGGGTAAGTGTACATGTAATTGTGACAGTTTGTCAATTTCACATGTTTACTTTTCAAGCTAAATAGGATTGCATACAACCAGACGGACTGTCTATGACAGTGCAGTTTTGAACAGTTAGCACAATACCCAGCTATTGAAAACGGAATGAAACTGCCATCAGAAGATACAAAGAAATACGATGGCCAAGGGACGTTTGGCATAATGATAGTGAGAATGGGGGCATGTGTGAGAGGAAATGTCATAATGTCAGTCAGACAGCTAAATTACTTAACGTAAAATGGTTTATGTTATTATTAATAATAATAGTCCATTTATCAATGTACAATGCATGCTCGAAGCCGGCAAACAATCTGATTATTATTACCCCGGATAACCCAAACTGCCTGTGAGGCGCAAGAAGGTTAGTGGTTACATGCCTTATCCCACCGGGTACCCATATTCTGCTGGGTGAACAGGGGCAATTTTGAACAAACTGCCGAAGGTGAGACCACATGTCTCATGTGCTTCGTTGTTAGGCAGGACTAAATTCTTAGAAACTCTCAGGAGTCAAGCTGCCAAACATGGTCACCCATCCAACGAATCTCCGCACCCAACGTTGCTTATCTTCACCTGATTGTGACCTAAACACTATGCACAGGACCACACGGCATGCTTTTACTCAGTTAGATATTATGACAACTTAGGGTGAGTGAGTTGGGTTTTACGCCGCTTTTAGCAATATTCCAGCAATATCACATTGGGGAACACATGCAATTTGTTTCTTATATTATAACCATGTTGGGAATTGAACCCGGCCTGACGAGCGAACGCTTTGACCACTGGGCTGCCCCACACAGCCTTATGTCAAGCACCAGATTAATCACAGACTGCCCAATCAGACCGTCGTCGTATAGCTTGAATATTGCTCAGGCTGACTTCAAACAACATTCACTAATACAAACATCTGGATTATCAAAGTTGTGAGGTATGCATATACACATGGAAATGATATTAATCATAAAAGAGTTCAGATTTGGAGCCAACATATAGGTTTATTTACTCTCTGACATCAGGTTTGCTAAGGTCTAGCACCGTCCAGCTATAAAACATCCAATAGATACATCATCTTTTTTCGTGTTAAGAAGGGTTTTAATGCGGTAAGTATAGTGCTTATAGTAGTGTTAATGCAGTAAGTATAATGCATATAGTAGTGTTAATGCGGTAAGTATAGTGCATATAGTAGTGTTAATGCGGTAAGTATAGTGCATATAGTAGTGTTAATGCGGTAAGTATAGTGCATATAGTAGTGTTAATGCGGTAAGTATAATGCATATATAGTAGTAGTGTTAATGCGGTAAGTATAGTGCATATAGTAGTGTTAATGCGGTAAGTATAGTGCATATAGTAGTGTTAATGCGGTAAGTATAGTGCATATAGTAGTGTTAATGCGGTAAGTATAGTGCATATAGTAGTGTTAATGCGGTAAGTATAGTGCATATAGTAGTGTTAATGCGGTAAGTATAGTGCATATAGTAGTGTTAATGCGGTAAGTATAGTGCATATAGTAGTGTTAATGCAGTAAGTATAGTGCATATAGTAGTGTTAATGCGGTAAGTATAGTGCAATAGTATAGTGCATATAGTAGTGTTAATGCGGTAAGTATAGTGCATATAGTAGTGTTAATGCGGTAAGTATAGTGCATATAGTAGTGTTAATGCGGTAAGTATAGTGCTTATAGTAGTGTTAATGCAGTAAGTATAGTGCATATAGTAGTGTTAATGCGGTAAGTATAGTGCATATAGTAGTGTTAATGCGGTAAGTATAGTGCATATAGTAGTGTTAATGCGGTAAGTATAGTGCAGTATATAGTAGTGTTAATGCGGTAAGTATAGTATGCATATAGAAGTGTTTATGCGGTAAGTATAGTGTGCATATAGTAGTATTAATGCGGTAAGTATAGTGCATATAGTAGTGTTAATGCGGTAAGTATAGTGCATATAGTAGTGTTAATGCGGTAAGTATAATGCATATAGAAGTGTTAATGCGGTAAGTATAGTGCATATAGTAGTGTTAATGCGGTAAGTATAGTGCATATAGTAGTGTTAATGCGGTAAGTATAGTGCATATAGTAGTGTTAATGCGGTAAGTATAGTGCATATAGTAATGTAAATGCGGTAAGTATAGTGCATATAGTAGTGTTAATGCGGTAAGTGTAGTGATATTGGTCATGTAGATGCATCTTGTATGTAACTGAGTATGTAAATAGATTGTATATCAATGAGAATATAAGTGTAACGTTCTCGCTGGGAATGTAAATGCATACATCTAGTTTGTGCAATGTCATTGAAGATCCGGGGTAGAATAGGTCTTCAGCAACCCATGATTGCCACAAAAGGCGACTATGCTTGTCGTAAGAGGCGACTAACGGGATCGGGTGGTCAGGCTCGCTGACTTGGTTGACACATGTCATCGGTTACCAATTGCGCAGATTGATGCTCGGGTTGTTGATCACTGGATTGTCTGGTCCAGACTCGATTATTTACAGACCGCAGCCATATAGCTGGAATATTGTTGAGTGCGGCGTAAAACTAAACTCACTCACTCACTCATGCCACACTCTGTATTCTCGCACTGCATTGGTTACAGGCACAATGTCACGCATTTTCGACAGTATTTTGGCCTATATTATACATATTGGGGCATATGCACCCACTGTAGGTTCCAATTGATGCAATAATAGGATCCCTTAAGACTTGACTGCAATCGATAATTAATGGACTTCGAAGCGAATAGCTTCCAGAGAACACTTGCAATATCTGCAATATATGCTTAAATGCAATAATGACAACGTTTTTTGTGCGTTCTGTAAATTAAATCAAAACAATACTGTAACAAGAAACGCTAACAAATTCTGTTTTTATTCCTTTGTTTCCTATCAGGAACAGCTGACACAAAGGTATGAATATATGTAAATAATATATGTCATTTATTACATGAAACAACAGCATCGATTCAATGTAGGTATGGCTGCTTATCTATGTGGGTGAGGGAAGATCCATGGGCTAAATATAGAATGAAACGTCATCCTCTTATCTCAAAAGTATAGTATTGACATTATATATTCACTGCTGCTACCCGGTGATCTTCAGATGACCTACTGCCAATACCACACACCTGCAATCACCAGGAACGATTCGATCGTATGACCTATATTCAGTTATGGAACTTCAGGCGACCATGTCGGACACAGCAGTTCACGAACCAGGTCTGTATTTTTATTATGATAAAAGTATGCAGTAGTTTATCACGTGTCACATGTGTGTTACTTTAAACTGATCTACTCAAGAATGTCACATTATTTCAGCGTTAATGTAGCAAATTGTTCCTGCCATCGGCGTGCTTTAATGGAAACCTGATTGACTCTGTCTATAAGCAGATGTGTGTGCGTGTGAATTCAGAACACACTGTCAGTTTGTGTTTTAGTTGTTTCAGACCAAAACGCCATTTTGACTGGAAATTACACTTGTAGTTAAAAAATACCGTAGCTGTAGCTTTAAATATTCGGGCGGACAAAGGCCCTTTAAACCAAATTCAAACTTGAGCTGCAAAGTCATGCATACATTTATCACATTTGTGACACACATACGGGGTATGGTGTTGACATAGAGTTCATGATCAGGGTGAATACTGGTCACTGGGCTACTTACACCCAACACTTGAGTGGGAAAAAATGCCTGTTTCTTTCATAAATTCGAAGGATGTTTGCACTGTGTTTACAGGTCTATCCTGCAAATTGTGAATATAGTTGCTACCGGAAGCCTAAGGCAAGACTACCCTTTCGCGAACACCCGGTGTCATCGCTGAATTTCAGTCTTCCATTTATATGATTTATACAGCTATGTTATCCGTTACTTCTATTGGAATCTATTTCTGAGGATAATCCTCTATTCCCTGTTTTATAGGCGAACAATTAACTTTGCATGCGTATGTTACATCTATGTGATAATTATTCATAAGCACATGAAGTTTATGGTACGGTCGGAATGGCACAATGGACTTTTAGTCATAAGGGATTTTGTACATCCTGTTTTCCTTATTAAAAGTTAGTAAGTAGAACCATAGAAACAATATAATGTAACAGTGGTTGGCACCTGTATGTTGTATTTAAATATCATATTCTAGATAACTGTATTTATTGTTTTTATGCACAACACATACGTATTCATTATGTTGATTTAGTGTGGATGTTCTGTGTTTGTTTGATTCTGCTTTGGTCACTTCCATTATATTAGGAGTGGCTGACGCTTCCATTAGAGCAGAACATGAAGACGCTTCCAATAGAGCAGAACATGATTGCACTTTAACAAACACTTTCATCACTTATTTATAGTAACATACACTCAAGGCCAAAAGAAAGTGACCTGTACTAAAATTCTTAATAAAAATCAACACAGACAAAAAATTGATTTCATATCTATTTATGTTGATAGTAAGGCCACTTGCTAAACATACCGAGGTTATTACAACGTCAAACATGAAGTAATGTTTAAGCAACATTTAATTAAATGACACTGGTATCAAAAGGCAAAGTTACATGTTTTCAGTTGTCTTGAACAATATCTGTGAACTCCAGATTAAAACACAAATGTCAACGTTTAGGTGTGCATTACTTAGTATCTTGTGTGTCCTCCTTCTGCATTGATACATGCAAGTACTCGACGTCTCATTGATGAAGGCATTCGGGATATTCCCCATTCCTCATGAATGCCCTGTTCCAGTTGTCTCAGGTTTGCTGGAGGGTTTAGTCTCATTCTGATTTTCCTGCCCAGAAAGTCCCAGAGATGCTCTATTGGTGAGAGGTCAGGGGAACGAGACGACCAAGGTAAAACGTTGATGTTATTGGTTCCCATGAAGTCACAATCCTAGCTGTGTGTGCAGGAGCATTGTCTTGTTGAAATAATGTCCCTTGGTGTTGATTAACGAAAGGAAACACAACTGGACGAATAACCTGGTCAGTGTATTGTTGTGCTGTCAGGTTGCCTTGAACTGTGACCAATTGTGTCTTCATTTCGCCACAGATACCCCCAAACCATAACACTCCCACCACCATGAGCCTGCACCTCCATAACGCATGATGGGGCATGACGTTCACCACGACGGCGATACACACGTGCTCTACCGTCGTTATGGTATAAACAAAACCTACTCTCATCGCGAATGGTCTGTGGGCTCGAATTCCGGCATGCTGAAGTCGTCGTCTAACTGTGTGTCTGCTGACAACTCGACCGAGTGCCGTTGATGCCGATTTCGAAACTGTCAGGAACCGATTCCTCAGATGTAGAATTCGTAGATATCGATTTTCCTGAGGGGTAGTGACCTTTGGTCTACCTGACCTTGGTCGGTCAACAGTCCTGCTAGTCTCAGTGAAACGTTTAATAAGTCTATTGATAGTATGTCTGTGACAACCAAACGTTCTTGCGACATGGGCATGAGAAACTCCCATGTTTATCATTCCTATAACTCTTTCACGCTGTAAGTCTAGGCATATCTAAAGTGTTTTCCTGTTTCACAACGTTTGTGTTATACCAACGGTCGTTAAATGCCTTGTTTGGCTGACGTAGTGTTCCAAATTTAACATAAGTTACATTTGACCACTTTCTAAAATGGCATTGTGTATTTCATAGCTTTCGGACGTGGGAGCCGTGCCAGTTAACACTTATCAGAGGGGTACACAAAGTCCGCTGTCTAGACTACCAGTTGTCCGACTTCCTTTTTGTGGAAGCCGCGGTGGCTAAGCGGTCTAGGCGTCTGACTTTGTGTGCTGGCGATTAGGTGCCTGACTCTGAGGGTCTGGGTTCGAATCCCGGATGGGACTCAACCCAAAAAGTACTAGAATCCCAAATAAAACATATGTTACATTTGACCACTTTCTAAAATGGCATTGTGTATTTCACTTATTTAAAGAGCTCCATTCATAGCTTATTCATCATTATGTTGCCTAAAACCCAATGGAATTTGTTTCGGTAGGTCATACTGTTGATCCATTTGGTCCATCGATTATCTGCAGACCATCGATTATCTACATATAATTAGAATATTGCTGAGTACGGCGTTAAACAACAAACAAACAAACTTTCGGTAGATAAAGGGGGGTAATTATTCTATTGATCTGACCTTTTATATTTACTATGGAGGATCAGCAAATGGTTTTATCATGGATATCGGCAGCTGTTAGAGGCCACTGAACACACTAATGTAAATAGGAACGATGCCTTACATTAAGAGAGTAGGTCTTAGTATGCACCCGTGTATAACGCAAGTTATGGAAGATGTCCTTTCTCCTCTTTCGTTGACATAAATTCAACCTTTGAACGTGTTCGTTCAAATGTGTGGCTTCAGAACATGTTCCGCTCCACTTGAAAAAATAAATATCATAGAAGAAATCTATACAATATGTGACAGACGTGACATCAATGAGCAGAAAGTCCACGTGCTAGCGCAATGTGTTTGATGCTGTATGGGTCTCACCTGTGTCGTATTACGTGCTGTGTCCTGTAGCTGAGTATACATGATGAACAGGGTTTAGTGAGTGAGATAGCCGAGAACAGTTGGTACTGTAGGATCTGTTTACTTGAATAACAACCAACATATTCTGGATGGAAGGTGTGTACATATTAGATTTACATTACACTAGGGTTCTCGTTCTTGAACACAGTCATATCACATTAATTTCCCTGCGATGGTAACACTGTGGGTTTTGAATAGCATTGCTCAGAATGAGCTGAATATCAAGTGTTGCCTCTGAAAATAAAACCTTGCGTTTTTGTTAATTATTATTTTCAGTTTGTGTAACGATCACAACCGCAACACCGTGAAAACGATGATAACCGAACGTTTGTTAAGCCAGAGGTGCATTTCTATCCCAAGTTTAAATGTGTTAAATTTATTAAAAATATGACGTATATAGCCAGGTCATATCTCCAGATATCATGATCCTTCGTTATAGATGTTTCGTAGTGTCGTCTATGTGGACATATGTACATTTGAACTGAGCAGTACATGCTATTCTGAATTTGCTTGGTATATGTAAATATAGCGAAACAATAACAAACCAAAGACAATATACGTTAATGTTGATAGGTGGACAAGACACCAATCGTACTCTGAATTGCCTTTGCATGGTTTTTTTTGCAGATTCCATGACGATTTGACAATGATGAATAAACATGATCCTTATATAGTCGAATTAGCAGATAGAGCTTTTAACAGATATTTGTTATGCTAATGAAAAGGGGGTTTTGTTATTGTGTGCTTGAATTTTTCAGAGATTTACAGTGCCAATTTGTGCTTACATTTTTTAATATCCAAATGCTGTTAGTTAATAGAATGCATTCCTGTTGCGATAGTTGTTGGAAAGCATATGATCATTGATGGAACACCTGTTGTTATCCATCGTGTTTTTCTGTACTAAATAATGAACCATGATCGGTAAATTATCCAGTTTGATTTTGGACGGTTCAAGTAACTTATCTGTAATTCAAATATATTACTTCAGCAACACTTTTTGAAACTCGGTTATGAATATGTATCGATGGTTATAATTGCTGGTATATTTCCTAATTTCCATCGTTTTCATCCTTGCATTAGTCTTTGACAAAAAAAGTCATTGGTGGACATTATTTGAAATATGGAAGAGAATGTTTTGTAGTCTGAATAGGTATGTGAGTCTCAAAACAGACATCTGCTGCTGATTCCGAGGTGCTATATTTTCAACAACGAGTTGTGCACTCAGAAGCTTAACACAAGTCTGCATTTCAGCGGCCCGGGCGACAGTTGCTCATCAGCAAACCATGCTTCTCGCGAGAGATCACAAAGTGATCACGTGTTCAGGCTGGATGAAATGGTTGACGCATGTCATTGCATCCCAATTGCGTAGATCGATGCTCATGCTGTTGATCACTGGATTGTCGGTTATTTACAGACTGCCGTCATATAACTGGGATACTGCAGATGTATGCACCCGGTATGTCTGGTCCAACACGTTTGATTTTGTACGACCATCGTTAAGCGGCCTTCACACGGCAAACTAATGTTTGACAACCCATGTTGTCATACACGAGTTTGAGAATGTGAACATTCCAACAACTCGCCACCAACACCAATTTCAGAGTTGTCAAACTGTTGTCGAGAAACAGGATCGGTCTCAACTTTTCCATCAAATTTTTGTGCAGTCAAACTCGAGTTTGTCGTGTGAAGTGTTGTCAAACTCGTGTTGTTCAGAAACAACCAATCGAAGTCAACGAAATTGGCACGTGACCGCACCGATAGAGACATGGTGCCCAAATGACAGGAAAGTTTGACAACATGTGTTTGACGTGTGAAAACGCGAGTTTGACAACTTTTAAAATTTTAACAACATGTGTTGTCAAACTTGAGTTTGCCGTGTGAAGGCCGCTTTATATTGACATGCAAGCAATTTCCCCAAGCCCAAACCAAATATATCATGAATCGCTTTCTCGGTTTGAGAATATGTTGCAATACAGATAAATTAAACCAACAAATCCCTTTCCACAGCCACAAGAACTATCTCTCAACAGCAGAGTCGTATCAACACAGACTGTATCATGAACAATCGCTTACTAAATAGGTGTGATACAAGGTGCTCGAGAAAAGTTCAGCGCATCATGCTCCTACCGTGGGAACCGTGAAAAACCAATCTTGCATAGGATACATTTGTTCCTCTTATCGTATTGTAATACTATTAAACACATATTCAAAATTAAATATTTCATATTAGTTATTCCCATAAAATTCTGCAATGTGTTGCTGGAGCCAAGGTTGGCTCTCCCATGACTCAAGCCCATACATGCCAATCCATGAATACACAATGCCATTTAGAAAGTGGTCAAATGTAACAAATGTTATATTTGGGATTACACTTTCTTTGCAAAGCCGTTGTGGCTGAGCGGGTGAGGCGTCTGACTTTGTGTGCTGGCGATTAGGTGCCTGACTCATGGTGCATGGGACTCAACCCAACAAAAGAATCTGTACTTTACTGAGAAAGTGTCATCCCAAATATAGCATATGTTACATTCCGATCCAGTCCATTATGGGTGAATATTTCAACAATTTTCGAATCATGTGATACCAGAGTGTCAAAACATAACTTATCAGTTTCAAGTGTCCATTGATATTAATAGGAGTTTAAGGTAATGTTGGCATTAATATTTGCCAGGCATCATTTGAAGTTAAAACAGAGTGACATAACAGATGTACTGTAGCTCGTACAATTATTTCAGACGATGATGGCTCGCCACCATGGTATCGCTCCACTCGGTACTGGATATCTTTCGTCGGATCCTTTGGCATAGTCAACACATTCCTACAACGCGGCGACCTCAGCATGGCCATCGTCTGCATGGTCAACCACACTGCCGTGGACATCCTCAAATACGGCATATCTGTCAACGGCAACGTGAGCCTCTTCACCAACGACAGCAGAGGGTTTCTGGACACCAGTGGCATTACGAATTTATCATACGTCACAATCGTGGAAAGAGACACTAATGTCACTGAAGGAGTACCTTTGCATGATTCCTGTGACTCAAAAACTGTTGATGTTAAAGAGCGTGAGGTAGGAGCTGTTATTCTTTCTCTTTGCTTTTCCTATATGTTTTGTGTGTTTCCACACAGTCTCTTAAAGGTAAATGATTTATGATACTACAATATCATTGTACATACAAGCCCTACTACTCGATATGTATAAATGCAGATGTTGTCTGTTTCTTTGTTAACGCCGCACTCAGTTGCAGTCATTTTGCATCAGTTATGTTGGTGAGTCTGTTAAAAGTAACTGTCTGAAGTTAGGTTCAACTGTCGTGTTTTAACATCCCAATTGTGATAATATCTGAATCAGCTGTGTATTTCCACACAGGACGGGGAGCTAATTTGGGACAAGGAGACCCAGGGCCTTGTCCTGGGCGGACTTTTCTGGGGCTATATGAGTCTTCAGATATTCTGCTCAATCATTATACAACGATGGGGATCAAGGAAAGTGGTGGCGATCGGGATGTTCTTTATGTCAGTACTGACGTTGTTGACACCGGTCACAGCAAGGTGGTCTCCCTGGGCAGTGCTCGTACTCAGAGCAATTATTGGAGTATTTAATGTAAGTATCATTTTACTATCAATGTAAATGTTAATACATCATACTGGACCCGTTACGTTCCTGGTTTAGAATTGATCTTCAGCAACCCATGTTTGTCGTGGGAGGCGACTAATGGAATCGGGTGGTCAGGTTCGCTGACTTGGTTGAAACATGTCATCGCATCCTAAATGCGTTAAATTTAATCACTGGATTATCGGGTCCAGACCGCCGTCATGTAGCTGGAACATTGCTGAGTGATATGGTATTATTGATATACGTACATCCGATTGTTAGATAAACATTACTGATTCCCTTTGTGCAAATATCACGATTTGAACATAATAAGGCATTTTTGCTGACTGATATTGCCCGTGGCGTAGCCTTTAATGACTAAAGCATTCGCTCGTCAGGCTTGAGTCCTGAATACGTACAATGAACCATGGAGGCGTGCAACGTTCACTAAGTGTTCAGCGCTATTTAAAGGTTGTTATCGGTTTTTTTATTTAATTCGCGAATATGTTATATATAATAACAGTATTATAGCCAAAAGTAGTGTCAAAATAGACTCGCCTTTACCATTTTATTGTAGGGATTCACAATAAATGGAATCTTTGCTCTGTGGGGTAAATGGGCTCCACCTTCAGAACGAAGTCGTCTAGTATGTATCATGTACTCCGGCACCATGTCTGCAACCGCTTTGGTGTTCCCACTGTCAGCTTTCCTCTGTAAAGTGAACTTTGCTGGAGGTTGGCCCACTGTATTCTACTTCTATGGTAAGCATTATATAAAAATTCGTTGAAATCTGTATCATTTGTTGGTTTTGTTTTACGCCGCCGTCAGCAATATCACAGCTATATGATGGCGGTTTGTAAATAAACGAGTCTAGACCAGCTAATCAACTGATTGACATCGTGGGGATCGACACACGGCGACATGCATCAACCAAGTCAACGAGGCTGACCACCCGTTAGTCGCCTCTTTCGACAAACATGGGTTGCTGAAGATCAATTTTAACCCGGATCGTCACGGGCATGGTATTGGAGCGCACACATTTCAGAGTGATTCCTTTTGATTCCCTACAATATAAATAGTTAGGTTGGTTGATGCTTGTTAAGGAAACATTTACACCTGATGCATTCTTTAGAGAAGCCATTGCTGGAAAAAGAATCTTACATTTCCAAGTCAAGCAGTCGATGAAAGTAAAAATTCCCGCGACCACACCCCACCGTGTGGATATATCGTCATCCATTTGTGTCAAGATCGTTTAGTTGAGGGTCAAAATCGGGTTTCAATCGACTTGCAGAAATAACAATAAAGAATTGGTAGGTGTCATGAGTGGTGCTCTATAGGCCAACAGGCTCAATCATCAATGATTATGTTTACATAAATTTTAATCGATTGCATGCGATGGTACCGTAGCGATCGCAAAGCAGGCGGGTGGGGTGCACCGGAGTGCCCGGCCTTGTCATGATGTATTGTACTGCGAAGCATTTGGAGTCGGGGGTCAATCTTTAATCCTCGCAAAGACACGAGGGCCTGTGGGCTACCCCACCGCCCCTCGATCTGCAGACGTTGTGTGGTAGCTAAATATCCACTGTTTTGTTACAGGTGTCGTAGGGGTATGCTGGACATTTATTTGGATATACAGTGTTTACGATGACCCTGCACACCATCCCAGAATACACCCAAAGGAACGGAAATATATACAAGACTCACTAGGAAAGTCGACAAAGAAAGGGGTTCAAGTAGGTCAAAACACTTTGTTCCATAAAGTTTATCCGTGAAGATCCGGTTAGAATTGGTCTTCAGCAACCCATTCTTATCATAAACGGTGACGAACAGGTTCCGTTGTTCAGGCTCGCTGAACTGGTTGACACAAAGATCGATACCCATGATGTTGATCATTGGATTTTGTGGTCTGTGATTATTTACAGACCGCAAGCTGGAATATTGCTGCGTGGAGTTAAACAACAAAGAGACGGAAAAACCATTAAACAGATGGTACTGAATTTGTTTCAGATGACAATGAAATTGAAGAAAAAATATCTGCCTTGTTTGAGGATTTTCATATTGACAGATGTCTGTGTTAAACTCTACGTGCTCTCGTGTTTTCGTTGTTAAATGTTTGATTGTAACTTTTCTGAGAAAATGACACAGGTTAAAAACATTTTTCTCATCTTACAACATTGAACACTGTCAAAGAACGACAGTAAATTATTTCAAATTATACACCTAAGGGGTATGCTGAACGGATGGCGAATTGTGAATAGTGTGAATATAATGGTCTTTGATTTACTAAACAATGTTTGTTCGAGTTTTGTTTAACGCCGAACTCAGCAATATTCCAGCTATGTTAATAAGTCAGCACAAGACGGTCCTGTATATATAGGGATGGTGTTACTTATTCTTTGACACATTTCATTGTATCCCAGTTGGGTAGATCGATGCGCATAACGTTGATCACTGGATTGTCTGGACCAGACTCGATTATTTACATACTGGTTTTAATAGCCGGTATATTGCTGCTTGATGCGTTGAACAACAAACAAACAAAACTTATTCTGTGAGCAAATCAAACCAAGGTTAGTTTTCGTTTGGATTGGATTTGGTTTAATTCTTTTCACATTGATCCGTGCAATCAGGAAACGAGCTGGATACCAACAGATCGTGGCCTTTGTTGATAGTATTGAATTCGACCAAATTAGACCATCATCTGGGCACCACCTGGGTCCCAAACAAGAACAAAATCAATCGAAATAAGATTATTCCGGGATTATTCCTGTAATGAACGGTGTGTTTGTATCGAATCTTTGAAGGACATTTAGAAGTGGAATACGTAAGAAATGCAAGATTTATGGATGTCAACTTCTTTATTGTGAATAACACGACGTTTCGGAGTGTATGCTTGCTCCTTCATCAGGCTCCTTCATTACCTGATGAAGGAGAAAGCATACACTGCGAAACGTCGTGTTATTCACAATAAAGAAGTTGACATCCATAAATTTTGCTTTTCTGGTGTGTTTGTAGTTGCAGCTACCTACACCGTGGAGGACTATTTTTACTTCCTTACCATTCCTTGGTATAGTATCTGCACACGTGACCTATAACTTCGGCCTCTTTCTCATGATGTCCAACCTACCCACCTACATGATGGAAGTACTTCGCTTCGACATACAATCGGTGAGTTGATATCTAGGTCCCATTAGCTGAAGATCCGGGTTAGAATTGGTCTTCAGCAACCAATGCTTGTCGTAAGAGGCGACTAACGGGATCGGGTGGTCAGGCTCGCTGACTGGGTTGACACATGTCGTCGAATCCCAATTTCGTATATCGATAGTCATGATGTTGATCAACGGATTGTCTGCTCCAGGCTCGATTATTTATAGAATATTTCCAATATAGCTGGAATACTGCTGAGCTCGGAGTTAAACAACAACCAACCAACCATCCAACTATGTCCCATTAAGTGATCGTACTGTTTCGACAATCTATAATAAAGTATGGCTTCTTGATATGTTTGGATGGAAACGTGCAGGTGTTAAACAGTCATTTGTATATAATTTTGATGAAGTCATGGACACGATTGTGACAAGCTTAGAAACGTGATAAGACAAGTGTGAGATTTGGAACGACCATAAGTTTTTGGAATGTATGGGAGCGTTTTGTTATGCGAATTCTTCAGGCAACTGTATCATACACGACGAATTTCTGTTTGGATTTATATATGAACGTGTCTATTCGAATTGGATATTCAGTGAAAGCTATATGTGTCATCCATTCAGATAATATTCATCACCTTTTGCCTTCTGATTTCTGATCATCCATAAGGGAATCAGTTTTTCTGATAATAGAGATCTGTATTGTATGGATTTATGTTATGTATATTCAATATATCATCAGAATGGCGTATATTCCCTCATCCCCTATCTGGCGATGCTTCTGGCAATATTGTTGGGATCACTATTTGCGGATACTCTCATCGAGAAACAGTTACTGAGTGTAAACTATACCAGGAAACTCATGACAATACTCGGTAAGTATATGGATGGTGGTTGAAGGGTGCAGGACTTACTTATGTCCTTTATAGTGCGACAAACCAACACACATGGTAGCCTTGTTGTGTAACACATAGAGTACGTGAGGTGAGGTGAAATGGGGTTTAACGTCGTACATAAGAATATTTCGCTCATATGACGACTGCCTGCGTGTGTATGTCTGGCTGCTTGTAGTAGCCTAGACTTAAGCTGGTTTTATAGTGCTAGCTCACTGAGATACCATGCAGCAGTTAAGTAATACTATGAAAACCCCACTCAGACACATTATGCTGACTCCGAGCCGACCAGTCCTTGTTTTACCAATTAATGCCGAGGGCCGGATAGGGACCAACAAGTACCATATTTTAACATCTTTTGGTATGAAGCGGCCGGGGATGGAACCCGCGACCTTCCGCTCTCCAGGCGGACGCTCTAACCACTACACCACGGGAGCGGTTCACATAGACTACGTTATGCTTGACACAACGTTATACATGCTGTGTGAATCAAATATATTTGTACGGTTTGTCCATTAACTGACTATCACTGCTCCTTGTGCACCATATGCATGAATTGCATGCCCTTGTGAGTTAAGGAATTCCTTAGTTTTAACTTAGGACGATTGATCATGTACAGCGTTTCACAAGTTAAACTGTGAAATAATAATCATTACGAGGATAGGGTTTTATGATGATCATCGCCATCATTTATAAAAGATAGTGATAATAAGCAGGGATCTATTAACTCGAAAAGTATTCTATTGAATGCTTTGAAACTGCGGCAATTTTCATTTTACGAGGGGATTTTTATGATATGAAACCTGTTTTGTCTGAAGAAAGAAATCCGTTAATGATAGTCGTATCACTTGCATACACACAGGCCATCTTATTCCTGGAATTCTGCTGATAATACTCAGTTATCTGGACTGCTCCCAGAAAGACATCGCTGTAGCCCTTCTGACATTAATCATTGGTCTCAGCGGTCTGGCCTACTGCGGACTCTTCGTCAACTTCTACGACATTGCACCTGTGTTTGCAACGAAGATTATGAGCGTCTCCAACGCCATTAGCATGATACCTGGAATACTGGCCCCGTATGTCGTGGCCGAGGTAACAAAAGATGTAAGTAGCATGATATATGGATGTATGACTTCGTTATTACAATCAGGGGCTGTGGGGTAGCCTAGTAGTTAAAGCGTTCACTCGTCATGCTGAAGACCAGGATTCCAGTCTTTACATGGGTGCAATGTTTGAAGCCCATGATATTGCCGGAATATTGCTGGAATATTGATAAAAGCGGCGTAAAAGTAAAGTCACTCACTCAGTTATTACAACAGGAAGACGTTTTGGTCAAAGTTCTAGCGGTTATAATGGTGTAAGAACCTACACCGAAACGTCCCTCCTTTCGTAAAGAAGTTGGTTTTTTTGTGTGTGTTTTTTTGGGTTTTTTCCACATTTTTTTATTCACATCAGTAGGTACAGTCATTTTATACAAAAATCATACACATTGATAGGTGACAGTTCTAGTTACAATCGTTTTATACAAAAATCATACAATCAAGGTTGTATAATTGCGGATCGTCTAAGCTTGAGCAATTAGGTAAGTCGGTGCTATGGGTAATATTACTTGTTTGCTCATGGGTTCATTTGGTTTGTTTTCATAATATCACCATATCATTCTGGGTAACCAAGACGTAGAAACATTCATACATTATTATACAGATGTCATGCCTAATACAAGCTTGTACATGTTGACAGTTCACAACACATCAGTCTTCAAACATGAGTGGGTACATTCAAGTATTACTGCACAAAGATCATAGATTGTAAACATTAAAGAGTCATAACACATCAGACCATGTTGTGTAATGGGTGCCCGTTTACTCCACATTCGTCTGGCTGGTTTTTCATTCTGGCAACATATCTTTCAAAGAAGCGATGGAAGATTTTAAGGACAAAATTAAATTTCTAATACAGCTTATGGATATAAATATGTATATCTTTTCCCGTCCGTGAATCGACACATATTGTAATTCACTATCTCAAAATTCTACTTTAAGCATGTTAAAGAGTCATGACACATCAGTCCACCTAGTAGTGGTAGCCATTTGCTCATACATTCATTTATTTGGTTTTTTATTCAAGCAACATATCTCTCAACTTGAAAAATATCTTTCAAGGTAGCAATAAAAGATTTGAAAGATTCATTTCTAATACAACTTATATATATATATATATATCTTTTTCCGGCCAAAAGAATGTGGTTCACCAGTTTGAAGTTTGCGGTCCCCTGGATACCAAAGAGGATGGATTTAAGATTAAGCTGAATCTCATAACACAGATGTTGTCTCAAAAATTGTCCTGATTGTACCAAAAATGATTAACCTGTGGACATTCAAAATATACATGCACAATCGATTCGTTTTCATTGTTACATCTTTGACAAATACTATTGTCGATCAACTTCATTTTAAATAATTCCTTTTTGGTGTATATAATGCGATGCAAAAATCTATATTGGAAATCTTGTAGCTTGATATCTCTACAGCATTGTTTAGGAAGACTAAATATTTCCTTCCAGTTTAAGTCAGTTAAGAACATTTGTTGCCATTTACTACAGATAATAGGGAGATAATTATTTTGCACAAGTATATCATATATCTTCCGAGATCCCTTTGATGGTTTAGTCCATTCCATAAGAAAGTTATTAATCCTAAGATCGGAGTCACATATAGGTTTAGAATTGTCTATCACCCTTATCCATTCTTTAGGGAAGTTACTGACAACTCGATGATGGTCCAAATAAGTACCCTTGAGGTTGAATTTTTTTTTCAAGTCTACAAAGGATAAGCGCCCGTTCTCGTCACATAGGTCTACAGAACTAGTTTTCTATAATAAAATTTGAGTCTGTACACTGGTGGTTAAACCATATCGGTTCAGCTAGAAAAGCCTGAATATCTCTTGCATCTGTCAAATGAGACCCATAGTATTTACTCCAAATATATATCGAATCCTGCCAGTAGGGGTTATCAATTTTACAAAGTCTGTAAGACGGTACATGGGCACCCAGTTGAAAAAGGAGTTTTAAAGGAAAGTAGCTATTATAGAGGTTCTTAAACATGCTTTTTAGGATACTGAGCTTTAGCGATGATATAAACACATTTATATCTACCATTCTCAATCCACCATTCTCATAGCTTCTTGTCAAATTCGCCCGTTTAATTTTATCAGGTTTAGAGTTCCAAATAAACTTTAAAAAAATTGAACTTAGTTCATAAAGAAGTTGTTCATACATATATCGAATCTTTCCTTTGTACTCCAACATCTAAATGCCCATCAAAGAAATTATATGAAGATACTTCCTGTAAACATACCTAGTCCACATACCAGTCAGCCCGCAATCAGTAGATAAACACAATAGAAAGTTCATAATTTGTACATTAAGCTATTGTCAGAGAAATAAATTTCCAATACCGGCTCCAACGGGAAATGGGGTTGATAAAGTTGCCGAATACCCATCAATAAATTAAATATCGCTCAAGGCTTTTGAGTTAATGAAGAATTACGTGTAATAAAAATTAATCACCAAAATCTTTATTTCCTTAAAGGCATTCCACCATAGTGTGACCATTGCAGGCAACATTTGGGGCATGACAAACAACTAAAGTATTTAATATTTAAAGTAAATAAAGAATTAAGATTACTGCTACACGTACATCTTCTACAGCAGTGAAACGAGTTTGCTAATGACTGATGAATAAGTGAATTTACGCCGTTTTAGCAATATTCCTGCAATACCACCGGGAGAGACACCAGACATAGGCTTTACACATTGTACCCATGTGGGGAATCGAACCCGGGTCTTCGGTGTGAGGAACCAATGCTTTAAACACTAGACTATCCCTCCACTCCGGTTATTTGGGACGTATCACAAATGTATGTCTCTATGAAGGTATGTCATTATGAATATCAAATGACAAAACACATCTCCATTTCGTATCTTTCAGAAAACAAGGGAACAATGGCAGATCGTATTCTTCCTCACCGCTGGTCTGCTTGGTTTGGGAACTGTTGTGTACCTGATTCTTGGACAAGGTCACGTACAGAAGTGGGCGGTCATCCAGGAAGTACCTGAGGAAGAGAAGGCTCTTCCTTAATGATTATCAATCTGCATCCTGATACATATGAGCATATATTTATATAGTAATTACAACGAAAAATGTTTATACCAGGTTTAGCGTTATGCGTTGATGAACTCAGGAAAAGAGAAAGTGCTTCGCTTTTTTTACAGTTTTTCTTATTTATTACTTGTGAAGGAAGTATGGTTTTTATGTATATACTAACTGTGAAGGCATTGTGTCTGATATAGAGTGAAGTAAATTTTGCAAAATAACAGCATCATGTTTTCGCATTCGTCTGCTCGGCATTTTATCATGATAAATTCCTTGACGAAAACTATACCCAGCGCCCTAAAAGAGGAATGCTTGAGCAACTTCATTGACAATTTCATTATGGGTTGTGCGGACCAGTATCGTTGCTACACGCAAGGCAGTGGTGGCGCGTTGTAGACATCTGATCATTGTGAACAACCTTGGGGATGTTAATCGAAATGTCCAGAGATAGCGTTACCGGCTGTTTCTGATCCTGTCGTATGATTCTTCCGTCTTATCCAACCTTTGAAGACAGATTCGAGAAAGGAGACGTCATGGCTTACATGAATGTTACGTTACCTCAAAACTGTCTGGAAAAAAGTTGTTACCAAACGTGAAAGCCTAGCGTCATTTACTGTTGAACAGATGAACACCTGATGGCTAAACAGCCTGTGCTGTTCGGACTAAGAAGAAACATATTCCCAACAAACACGTAAACGTCCTCACCGTACGCCGCGCAATAACAAGCACATTGTGAATCTCGGCCTTACACTCAATATGCCTTCATGATTATGTACTATTGAAAGTTGATTTAATATATTTCAGAATAAATCTATTTTTACCATTATACGATGAACACGTTCCGTTGTTGTTTCATTTTATGTTGTTTAACGCCCACTCAGCAATAGTCGGACTTGGTCTCTTTGTAGCCCAGGAAAGGCTCGTATTTCATTGCACTTGATATCTTGTCTATTTCATTTTTGTTACAAAGAGATAATGTTGTTTCATCATTCCAAGTATCACTGTCGGGGTCAGGAACGGTTTTGAAATGAACATCCGGTTGTTGAAGCTAGCCTATCTCTATTCTAACTCTAGTCTGTGATCCACTGTGATGTTTGATCTTTCAGGTGCACATATCTTGTCCAGAGAGCCATGTCATGCTATAATCACATATTGGGCTTCTGAGAACCTGTTGGTTGGTTGTTGTTTATGGCCGCACTCAGCAATATTCCTGCTGTATGGCAAAACAATTTACACGTAATCGAGCACACTTGTACTAGTTCAGTGCATAATTTCGAATTGCAGAATCGGAAAATCCATTCCATTTTAGTAGCACCCACTAGCTTTTCCTGGAATTTAACTCTAGCGAAGAACTGGTTTCCTACGATCGGTTCGAGAGGCGTGTTCAGTAACAGTACCGCGAGTACTGAGCGCTGACCGTACATGTTATACCGCCTTAGTAATCACTGCGCGAACCCACGCGCGCTTATAAACACTGCCCCGGTAATGGCACTACATACGACCATGTTTCCTCCGTCCGTCACTAGTACTTCATTTCCAGACATGGTTAGACATTACAAAGAAATTTGATATGAAAGGTCATATACTGGAGATGAGGGTACCGTATCTGCGATGGGAGTACCGATCACAAATAGAAGCAAGTCTCTAATAGACGGAGGTATGGTCATCGTGATGCTCTTGAAATCAGCTTCACCCTCCCCCCAATCATCTCACGTCCTTCTCACTAATTTTTAAAATAACTCAGGTGCCTCCAGCGTTGCCTTTTTAAAAGGCTTTTCTTGTTTTTCCTAATGCGTAGCTTCCCTGCAATGCTAATGTCCTAAATGAAGCAAGTTTAGATTTCCTCAAGCTCCGGTGCTGAATCTCTCATCTCACTGGAGCTCCTTTTCAATTTAAATGGGATTATTTCTTTGGCGTTGGTCTAAATTACTCTTATAAACTCCCTTCTAACTGCCGTGTGGGACTATGCGAGTATTTGTGTTTTGTAAATGTCAGATCTATGATCTTTCCATTATACATAAAGGGTACTGTTTGTGCCGCTTTTCTTGTTCACGAAACTGAACCGTGATGAATAGGATCACCACCAATGTCACCAAAAGATAATCATATGGTGTCTCTCTACTGTTCGTCTAGGTCCAATGATGTTATATGCTACATGATTGGTTGGACATGATAAGGCCATGAACATCTTTATAATTGCATAAATTTGATTTCTCATGACAAAATATACTCTGTCATTATCTCTCCTGTTTAGCAGTCAAAAAAGCGACCAACCTTTCCCACAAAAATATTAATAATTTACTAAATACTTATTCGGGTCGACTGCACTCTGTTGACCTCTCAGGAATGAATCACTAAATAAACAGTGATGAAACAGGGTGCTCGAGTACAGGCTAACTCATCCCGATCATCGGTGGGGCACGCAACAAACTCATTCAATGGCAAGCCAATTGTTTACCCGAAAAGATGAGTGAGTGAGGGAGTTTAGTTTTACGCCTCACTCAACAATATTCCAGCTATATGGCGTCGGTTTGTAAATAATCGAGTCTGGACCAGACAATCCAGTGAACATCAGCATGCGTATTGATGACATGCGTCAACCAAGTCAGCGAGCCCGACCACCCGATCCTGGGACGTTTACACGCGTATAAATTGTGTCATAACATCACCCAACCTTCAAGACAGTTTGCATTTTACTGTATCTTTCATGCGACCTATTCAATTCCAAAACACAAGTAAGAGAAGTGGGACTAACGTTATTTATCCGTCTTACGTTTAAATGAAACCCCCGAATTTACGGTGGAATTGGCGATGATAAAGGGATGGCGAAAGTAGGGGCTAGATTATTTGTACATTGATGGAAACATACTCATATGGATCATATCCTTAAAACATAAATATCGGCAGATAATCTAATCACTGTAGAGTTGCATTATTTGCGAAATGGCTCCAGATACCTTGCATGGAAATAAACGTTCTGAAGGCTATTGTACTTATATCACACTAAACTCTCTGAAAGCCATTGACTAGTTAAAACCCGCTATCTATCCAATGCAGAGCTTACTCATGATCAATTTACACATGGAACTGTCAGTAGAAAAGCGGATCTCCTCGCCATATGTTACCAATTATCTCATTGCGTCACTGACTCTTAATGAACCATTGCTGGTGGTTTAATGCAGTTATATATCCGAACCATTGAAATAAATGCTAATATATGTCAATATGGTAATAATCCATGTACCTCTGACTATGAAATTTATAATAAATATAAACCTTGTCAAATACGATTTCAAGGGTATTTAAACTTGTGTCATCCATGAACAGCATTTACAATTACTTCTGGTGTTATACATGCATTATACGCTATTGTCATATTACTTACAAGATGCGTTTTTAGTTCAGGACCAGCGAAACATGGAGGCCCAAAGATATGTGCATTTCAAACGTCGAGTAAAACTGGATTTGGCCCAAATTGGGTATCTAGGTGGATTTATACTATGAGTGAGTGAGTGAGTGAGTGAGTATGGTTTTACGCCGCTTTTAGCAATATTCAAGCAATATCACGGCGGGGGACACCAGAAATGGGTTTCACACATTGTACCCATGTGTCGAATCGAACCCGGGTCTTCGGCATGACGAGCGAACGCTTTAAAGGAGAATACGAACGAAAACAAAACTTTTGATATATTGTAAAGGATATTCTAAAAGTCACATTCCGTGATTAAAATTGAACAAAAAGTTTGTAAAATAGCAATAACAACACAAAAACGTACTGGTCTTTCCGCCTATTACGGAAACACCCGACAGTTAATGAGCAGAGGGGGTATCACGTGACTTGACGTCATAAGTGCCTGTTGCTGATGGCTTCCTCTTTGATTTTACCTCACAACTTAACAGTGTCCGTGGATGCTGAAGCAGTAAAAGATGTTCCTGATGTCATTTCTGAAATGGATGTTAGACTGTATCAATACGATCCGATTTTACATCTTGCAAGACAATCTTCCTCTGAAGATGAAGAAGAAGAATCAAGCGAAACGGGGGCATCGCTTGAGGTCAAAATAAATTTTAAAATAGACCATATCATTTAACAAGATTACTATTTGTCAGCAAAATGTCATACAGTTCCAGCCAGCAAACTCACCCCTATAAATATATGACCAGTCACTAAGAATTATTTACGGACTGGTACTAAGTCACAAACACTTACACAGGCACGCACGCACGCACGCACGCACGCACGCACGCACGCACGCACGTGCATGCAAGTGGTGATACATATGCAATAATCACAAACACATGAATGAAAATCCCATTACACCTCATTTACGATCGACTCTAAGAAGACCGTTCCATGGTCAATTTGAATCTCATTATTATAATTGTTTATTCTCTCCACCCCTTTATCTGTCACGCGGCATGCCTTGTCGGGTACGGAGATGTACACGCGTCATACGTGACTGATTAAATGCCCTGAATTAACGACAAACGATCCGCAGAAGTCGTTACGTGATCGACAATCAAACACAGCTCCCAACTACGTCAGTCAATATTGGTCCAAAATTCGGATTTTATGACCGATTCTTTTATTTGCCCGAAGGAATGCTGAGTATTTTCAATCATAAAGAAATGTTATTGCTACATTGTCCTCAAAACATACAGGATGAATGCTGTAGGGCACCAGACAACAAATAAATACAAGCTTTTATGCAATGTGAATGACGGCTGGGCAGAATCATGCTGAATTCTGGTGATCCATTCATGTAATTCTTCATGCCTAATGGAACCAGTTTCGGCTGAAATTTGATATTGGGTATATTCTGGGATTCACTGTTTATATTTGAGATCGATGAGTTTTTAACGCATTTTGGAACACTAAGATTGAGATTAATGTCGGGAAAGAACCAGCATCTCAGACTGGCGAGGTTCATTCTTAGCCAGAATTATATTGAGCTCGGTCTGTCATAATAATGGAATGGAGCCGTGTATATTTGCTCAGTGACAGTCACATTTATAACATTCAAATCATACAATTTTTATACAGTTATCAAACACGCACGCACGCACACACGCATTTCAGACATAAAAAGGGAAACCACACACCCATGCACACATCAAAAGCGGTAACGATTCCTGTTTTCAGAATCATGCGCTTTATTTATAGCAGCACTCGGCAGTAATCCAGCTGTGTGGTCTGGACAAGGCAATCAAGTGACTGAAATCATAAGCATCGATGACATGCATCAACCAAATCAGTGAGCCTGACCACATTAGTCTCTTTCAACGAACTGCACGCGTTGCATGGTCAAGTCATCTGACGTTCAGGATATAGCTCTGTATTTGTTGAAGGCTGCTGCCGTGGCGAATTTGTCCTTCCTCGCGAGGCACCATTCCTTCAGACATATGAACGTCAACAAATCATAGTACCAGAATTGGTCTTCAGCAACCCATGCCTGTCATATGAGGCTGCCTTACTTGGTTGACACATGCTCAAGATGTTGATCACTGGATTGTCTGGTCCAGACTCGATAATATACGACCGCCGACATGTAGCTGGGATGTTTGTGAGTGCGGCCAGAAACAACTAAACAAACAAAAAACAAAACCGCACAGCAGGACAACGCCTCCATCATAATCACATTGAACTTATCGTTACAGATTTCAGTGTACAACAGAGTTCCTCAGGCTCTCTTGGACTGTAGTTTCGTCAGATTCGTCGTGCATCGAGTGAGTTAATATTTAACGTCACATCGGCAATATTTCAGCCATATAGTGACGAGAAATGTTTTATAAAACAATAAATTAAAGTTGCTAAATAATCAGTCATCGAAGGACTGTAAAATAACTAGGGTATCACAGATGGACGTCGCCCATCGAACATGTGTGGGATGAAATGAACGTCATGTACGACGACTTCAAAACCAGACGGTGACATTGGTCCAGCTGCGGTAGGCGTTGGTCAAGAGCCTGAATGACAGCCTACAAGCCAAAGCCTCTCTCATCCATCTTCTGTTGTCAATGAGGCGCCGTTGTTCAAGTGTGTCAATGCTGATGGTGGTCTTACCCGGCACTGACTTTTGAAGTGACATGAAACCAACTTCAAGCCCCAGAGGAAAGAAATGAGTTGAGGCAGGCACGATGATTTCGTGTTTTGTGGAAATAATTAATTATAGTGTTCATTTGAAAACGTCTGCGTGACTACATTGTCAAGCAAATTTGTCATCGTTTTCTGCAGACAACTGGCAAAAAATGAAGATCTTGTAAGATAATATATTATTTACCAGCAGAAAACGGGTCAGAGAGAGAGGGAGCGATATCGGAAATGAGCTATGGACGTCAGTACCTTATACTGTCAGCCACCAATGGAGGATAGTGAGTGGGTGAGTGGGTCTAGTTTTACGCCGCTTTTAGGAATATTCCAGCAATATCACGGCGGGGGACTCAAGGGAGGATACAAGTGAGGCTGTTTAAATCATTCAAACCAATTCATCATCTCAGATTTTGTCAGCAAAAGTCATTTCAAACAGGTATAGTGTCATACACAGTTCACGTAAGTGTTTCACATATACTTGCCTTGCATTTGTTTTGGAATAATGTATACGGGACCTCATTCCAAGCACTGGCAATCACTTATGGTCAGAACACGATGTGACTCCAAAACTAGAACAAATGGACTCCCCAATAGAAAGGTACTGGTAAATGCCGTATTTTCTGTTTGATCAGATTCAGTGCAATATTGGCACCAGTGTTAAATTAATGTCACCCTGTGTGATTATTTAATGCCACACCATTATCCTTTTGTCAAAACGTAACCTGACATTTTGCAGGATTACCATTATTCTAAGAAACTTGAGTGAAACTGCATGATTTTGAGAATGCCAAATTGAAGGAACTAATAACTTCTTTGAGAGGCTTTTAGAAGTTGGAGTAGTGAGAAAGGATAGCAATACATGGATGAACACTGTATTAAAGAAATTGTTCATCCACATATTGGTTCTCATTGTTATAAAGCTATTCGTTCATAAAGTATTGTCTGTAATCAAGTTGTTCATCCATATATTGTTATCCTTCCTGAATGAACAAAAACCTTTTTTTCTCTCAAATTAGCAACAAATAAAAGAAGAATAAAAGAACAGCGTGTTACATCCTTAACATTATGGTGAGATAAATAGTTATTAAAGAAAAATTGCAAGTGATTGAATATTTTTATACGCCGCGCCAGCAATGTGCAGATTTTCGCAGAGATTACAATTATGTACCAACATAATTAACATTATCAACTCGAAGGTGGGATTAGCAGAAATCGATAGCAATACTTATTACAGATCAATACGCCTTCATCAACAATGAGATGTTGGTGTTGAGGCTAATGCATCTTTGACATAAATCTCCCCACCACATTGATCTGTGCCATTACCCTCAATGTCACTGACTTGAGTGAGAAACGTCTCCAACACCACTTCGTTCACTATTCCCCCTGCCCCATGAGACAGATCCCGCACACTAACACACTCTCAATACAGCTGAGGCATGTAAATGTACTTCCCTAACTCTTTCTCGCTGTCTGCGGAGGCCACATGTGAGACGAACGGCTGGCGTAAATATAGAACGCTTTCCAGTGACAGCTTGATCCGTCTATCTAGTCAAGATGTGCGGTTCAGTCTCGGGTCACGCTCACTCGACCAGCAGGTTCATTTGACCTAGAACCTGTCTGTCAGCTGTAAATCCCGCAGCTTGCACGTGATCCTATAAAAATAGCATGAGCCATGTTGTGAACTTGCTATGGGAATCGATACTGAGCTCGAAAGCAACTTGAGCCGTCTCAAGGTGAATTAGTGTCACGTGATCAACAACTGTCTCGTTGTACCGCGGTGCTTGTATACGGATATAACACTGTGATTCACTCTGAACAGGGGGTCGAAATTAGCTTGGCAGTTCTTCGGTTATGTGTGTCATTGATACTGTAACAAACTAAACAGGCCACGTTACTGTGCCGACTTTTGCGCTATAACGAGGTAGATATGAGCGAGAGTTGAGGTTGCGCTCATTTGACCACTGTTCTTTTGTTGTGTTGATTCTCTGACAGTGGAATGTCCGCACGACGCACCAAGAAGGTGCATTTGGAAACTTTTCTAACTTAACCCACCACACTACAGTGATGTTTAAGAGATCCATCAACTTCTCGCCCTTTGAGAAAGATCAGCTATTACGCCTCATCAGGGAGTACATCGTTATATTCGAGGACAAGCGTTTGGATGGAGTGGGGAGACGCGAGAAGGAGCGAGCTTGGCTGGAGCTGACGGACAGATACAACTCGCAGGATAATGTCAACCTCCGGACCAGCAAACAGCTACAGGCATGTTGGAAAAATCTCAAGAACAGAGCTAAGGATGTAACAGAAGCTTGCAAGAGAGGGGAGGAGTTCCCATTCTTTACAATGTCCAACAGTCTTAATTCGAGTTACCTCCCTTACAATTCTTTCAACGAGGATGAAAATGGATACGAGATACGAGGTATGTCCTCAATGTAACGCAGTTATGCATCGGTTAACACCAATGGCACACAGCGTTTCGTTCTTTTTTCTCAGCAGCATTTATCTTTTGTTTCATATGGTATTATATTGTTTCACACATGACATGTTTAGAGCGACTGATTAGTAATGAGCTGTTCAGTTGACTATATAATTTCAAAATAATTTCATATAGATTCTTTATAATTTTTGAAAGATATTTAAGTTAAAACAGTTTCGAATCGTGTAGATTTTTCACAGCTATTCAAGAAGTCATTGAATTTTTTAAAATATGTATTGAAGACAATGCTTAAAATTAAATGATGGGCGTTGCGGTAGCCTAGTAGTAAAAGCGTTCGCTCGGAACGGGTTCGATCCCCCACGTGGCTACAATGAGTGAGTGAGTTTAGTTTTACGCCGCACTCAGCAATATTCCAGCAACATGGCGGCTTCAATCAGTGAAGCCCATTTCTGCTGTTCTTCACCGTGATATTGCTGCAATATTGCTATAAGCGGCGCTTATCCGGGCCAGTTTAATCAGACGTTGTCATCTTCCGTACGATATTTACGTGAAGCGAAATACGTATATTTAGAAATGTTTCATTTATCTCGGTAGCCGAAATTGAACTTTATATCTATGCATACTGTGAAATATAGTTGATAGTTAATGATGACACTAAAGTTTATTTAAATCATGGCACATTTGTACGATGGATACTGTGAAATATAGTGGTTGTATTATGTCGCTTATGTTTATTAAAATTAAAATTTGTCCTATATTTCCAGTGAAAGCAGAGCATGACAGCGATGTCGAAGATGCCACCCAAGACGACATAACTGTCACCTTTAACTCCCATCAGCAACCCTTCTCCGTCAGCAATTCCCCCTCACCCCCTCCGACGTCTGCCCAAGTGAACTACGTTTACTCTCCCACCGCATCCACGCCATCGTTAATAATTCCTCAGTCATCAACACATGCGCACTCATCATCATTCTCCGTGCTGACGTCATCCCCATCTCGTTCCCCTTCCCGCGAAGAACCACCGGAGGAGAAGGTTCAGCGCCTGGAAAGAAGTGGTACCACGAGATTACCATGTTCGGTGCCAACATACAGAGCGCCAGAACGAAGCATCAGCAAGTCGGTAGATCGTATTGCTACGTCTATACTCTTTGAACGAGGTGTGTACGACCACTCAGGGCCTCAGGGATTGTTTGTTCCACGTGTGGACCACTATACCAAGAGGACAGAATCTGCATCAAGTGATGGAAACCTTCCACAGCGCGATAACTCAATACAAATCAACCAACAGTATAGCAATACAAGTCCACCATATTACAAAAATGCTCACCGATTTAACAGTTCTACACAACCTTTAAGAAAGGGCGGTAACTCCCATCGTCCTATTTCGTCATCAAGACCAATGACGTCGAGTTCAGTCCGGGCTAATGTTAATGGCCACGTACCTCTTATGTCGCCTCACAAGGTGAAGAAAGCTGCTCAATATAGAAGACTGGAACATGAGGTAAGGATGAAGAACTTGAAGTTCGAGAGGAGTTGTGTTGAAGCAGAACACAAGCTGAAATGTGAACTTTTGCATTTGAAGATCAAATACTATAAGAATAAACTAGAAGAACGTTCCAATCGACCCTCTCAAACCGGCCTCACCCATGTTGGACCCGAATAGCCTGCTGGAGGTTAATTTTGTGTGGATTCTTTCTTACCGTCCGGGACTGCAGGATAATATTATATAGGCGGTGTTGAGGGTTTATTGTTCGGCCTATGGTGTCCACCATTTATCCGTTGACGGGTGTCTTGATACTTAAAGGATATTTAAGAAAGGAGTGAAAATTCAGTGTCGTGATACTTGCCAACTAACAATGGGTGCTACTGAGAAGAGACACACTTCTAAACAGCCAGTATTTACTCAAGATATACTCAGGGTAGCTGATGCATTATATATATTAATGTGGGCAATACATTTCGGTGGCTAGCCTCGATCTTAAGGGCAATGTGGACTTGTTTCACAAGAGCTACACATGACATGCCAATAACCCTAGTCAAACTGCGGTGTGTACTCACAAATCTGTTACCTATTTTGTTTATATACTGAGATGATAATGATGTTATAACATGCCTCTGACATAATATTGATAATTATTTACATTTAGTTAAAGATGATCAATACAAAGGAAGTTAAAGATCACAAGACTCATTTCAATTTCTTTTATTCAGGGTACTGAAGAGGCCACAGGCCTATAGTACAATACAATCACTGTGAATATAAATTAAGGTTATTGTTCAAAGCAACAAATCTACAAATTGTTAAAAATCTATCAATGTACATCTATCATGGGTTCAACAGTAGAAAATTTGTTTTAAATACCCTGTAACTGTACACACTTGTATTGTACTATAGGCCTGTGGCCTCTTCAGTACCCTGAATAAAAGAAATCACAAGACTCTTTTTATACGACCTGGTGGTGACTGCAACACATAATCTTCGTTGTGATCTTTAACTTGTTTTGAGTAGTATATTTGACAGATATGGGGATTAACCCTTTCGTTAAGTGCAAACTGCAACGATGAGACATTCATACTCGTTATTAAGCTATTTGATGCATCATTATAGCTGCGCTGAAATCTTATAACAACAAAATGCCCTTTCCAATAACAAAAAGCGACAAAGCCGTGTCGATATTCAAAAGAAAGCTCTGTCAAGAGCAGAATCGATTATCGACCATATCCTGAGCATGATTGAACCATCGTCAGTAATGATAGTACCAGCTGGATAAATGGAGCGGTTTCTGCTCGCTGATCACAAACACATGCAGACGCTCGTCAATTGCTCATCTGCAAAATGACGGGATTCCATGGTTCAAGTCGAAATAGGGAATTGTATCTGACATTTTTTTGTCACTTATGCAACAATATGGAAATGCTATTCACATTTCAACAATATGTTTTTAGGCAAGATTATAACCTTGATCAAAGTTCTGAGCAAGAGACGCGTGACAGTCTTTGAAAGCTTTGTTGAACGAGCATGCTCCAGTACCAGGCCACTGTACTGAATCTATCAATATGTTACAGTATAACGAGAGAATGCTTAACCGCGCTTTCTAATCTGGTGCTTCAAACGAAGAGCTTGGATAGCTCGTTTAGTGTTATACTCAAACAGTAAAGTCTTCATTGTCTTCACATAATAGGATGGACTTGCTTGTCAAACTGCAGCTATCGTTTCTATTTTCGTGATTTCCATCGTCGGGTTGTTTTTACTTTTTCTTCGGATTGTTCATACCCAACCACTTGTCGCTGAAGTCACCCCGGGGTTAACCAATAATATTAACCTTTAACGTGGTGAGATGGTCCCCACATTATTATGGATGACATTATTGAGTCCTGTTACGAAACCGACTCAGTAAACACTGGATTCTGAAGTCAATGAACCAAGCTTTGCTCATGACCTTAGAGGATGCTAAGATCAACGTGTTCAATAAAACACGTATTTGTATTCACACTGAGCAAAGTGAATATTGTACTTATCTTGCCCGTCCTTTAACCTTTTTCTTATGGTTTATGTTTTGTTGTACGAAGTTGTAACGAGAAACGTTTCCCAAAATTTTGGCATATGTTAACCGATATATTTATATACATATATGTATACATGTACTTACGAAGTATCCCATGTAGAGTGGTGTGTATGTGTCTTCAAACGAACATATGTGAGTGTTCTTTGCTACTGTTATCAAAATGTGTTTTCTGTTGAAATATCTTGTTATAATATGATTATTATTATACCTATTTCCATACCTTGATGTGTGACTTTCCAACCAACTGGTATCATAGTCATTCTGATTCTAACGAGTGATGTGATTTTATAATGAAGTATATTTTATCATTCCTAATTAAAATTGCCTTACACAAATGCTATTGTTTTCCATATATTGTAATGCCACGGATACCTTCGACTACAAGTACATCGACATATGTACTGAAAAAGCGTTGCGGTTTAACCGCTTCTTTCATGTTATTGTAGTTATTACATCTCATGATAAATTAATTGTAGACATGCCGACTAATCTGTGGTCTTCAGCTAGTTCTTTATAATGGACGAACATCGATGTTATCTGACTGATTGATTGTTGTTTAATGCCGCACTCAGCAATATTCCAGCTATATGGTGTCATCGATGCTATCTAGTGAGCGACTATGGTTTGACGCTGTTTTTAGCAATATTCCATCAATATCACGGCGGGGGACACCAGAAATGAGCTTCGCACATTGCACAAATGTCTGAAATTGAACTCGGATTGTTGGCATGAAAAGCGAAAGCGTAAACCACTAGGTTAATCCAAAGGGCCTATTTAGTATGTAAACTATTTTATAGGCTCTTGTAGACTGTACAATATGCTAGATTTATTACGGATTGTGGGAACAATTGCAGAGCAGAAACCAAGGTGGCGCATATCCCTTTGGCGGAACCAACTGTGATGTTGCTCCTTGTGGTCAGATATTCCTCAAAAGAAATAATGATACTTGATAAGATATGAGGACCAAACAGAGTTATTATAAGAGTAAGTAGGGGGAGTGTATTGAGGTAGTCTTCAAATTTGTCTTCGTGTTACCTAACACCCGTGAAGATCCGGGTTATAATTGATCTTCAGTATCCCATGCTTGTCGTAAGAGGCAACTAACGGGATCGGGTGGTCAGGCTCGCTGACTTGGTTGACACATGTCATCTTATCCCAGTTACGGAGATCGATGCTCATGCTGTTGATCACTGGATTGTCTGGTCCAGACTCGATTATTTACAGACCGCCGCCATATAACTGAAATATTGCAGAGTGCGGCGTAAAACTGAACTCACTCACTCACTAATTGAGTTACGAATTGTATTTTGGTAGGGAAGAGGAAGGGGGTGATAAGACAATTGTGTAGCATTGCCAGAAGTTACCCTTGCCCCAAGGGCAATTATTCTTCATTCAGCTGATAGCAGTCTCAAAGTACTCCAACGGATTCGATATACAGGATATACGTAGATGTGCCTTTTGTTTAATGACAGAGTTTGACATAAAACATGTGAATATTTTCTGTTTCCTTTGAGATTTTAGAAACCCATGTCACACACTTATAATAGGATAAGATTTACAACTCTCTCTCTCTCTCTTCTCTCTCTCTCTCTCTCTCTCTCTCTCTCTCTCTCTCTCTCTCTCTCTCTCTCTCTCTCTCTCTCTCTCTCTCTCTCTCTCTCTCACACACACACACACACACAATCAATCAATCAGAGTTAGATTTCTTTTGTGAACGTGTCAGCATTGTTTTGAACAGCTAAGGAAATTCATTTTATCTTTAATAGCAAACCGAAGCACATTCTTGATATAATATATGTGTTAAAGGTCACATGCAACCACAAAATCAAACATAATTAAAACACAATTATCACTTATTCATGACATAATATACATTGCTGGTTATGAAAAAAACATAAATACAAAATTATAAGCGTACACTCGCAAATCAAAAGTGCAATATTTTGTACTTGGGTTTACTTCCTAACAAAAGAAGCAGCCGGGATACCGAACCCAGTCAGAGCGGGTGGGTGTGCACTCAAGTGTAACGGCTGGTTCATTTGCAGATGCCCTCACGGCTCATTGTGTGTGTATATATAGAGATGTTGGGTTTTGTAAATACATGCTCATTATTTGTGTATAACATTTTGCAATCAACAGACATCATAACATGTCATGTGTACAAGTATCACACCTGCCTGTCTGTGTAATTACATAATGTGACAGAGACCGAACTCGGGCCATAAATCAATGCGTTTTGTTTATGGTGTATAGCCTGATAGTTCAAATTGCATGTGGTCAGTGATTGAAATTGTGTATTGAATATTGTCATTAGCAGACGGGCAGGCAGACACATAGGTGCCAATAAAACAGACATTGAGTTTTGTCTGTGACAACGACATATCTATATCACAGTTAGAAATTCTGTCGACGCTAAATAATGACATTGCTTTTAATTAAGTATCGAACTGAGAAAGTGACTCGGTAAGAAGAACGTGTGGTGAAATAAACAAAAGAACTTATATAAACACAGTTAAATCGGTAATCTACTGTAATAACATGTAAAAAGCTCGCGCCTGTGAAATATCAACAAAACATTAGAAAAATAGTTCACACCAAAGCCTTCACCGAATATTCACCGGACAACCCGCTTCCAAGCTCCGCGAACCTATTTCACTGCGCAAGTGCTATGAGCGCAGCCCAGCTGTTGAAACCACTTCAATTCCCCCAAGCGCTGGGGGAAAGTTGGTGAATCCTTGAACTACGATTTCGCGCGGTTTTTTTCATCGCGTTATTTTTCAACTTTGTAAGTTGAATTTGTATTTTTGATGATTTGTTTTGGTAAGTCCATACCGAAAGGTATCAGAATCGGCAAAGTTGTGTTTTACGTTGCATGTGACCTTTAATGTATTATGTATGCTAGTGACAAGCGACGTGCGTGCCCAGTTCTCTAACATAGTCCCGTGGAGTATACATGTAACGCTTACCGAGGACTGTCAACCGAGAGATACAAAACACCAGGGGTACGTTAAACTGTTTACCTACCTCTTTTTCTCCTTTATCGAGGGCCAGTGGGATAGCCTAGTGGCTGGAGCCTTCGCTCGTCACGCCATAAATCCGGGTTCGCTTCCCCACGTGGGTACGATGTTTAAGGCGCATTTCTTGTGTCCTCCATCTTGGTCTTGTTGGAATATTCCTAACTGCGGCGTAAAACAGTGCTCATTCGCTCTTTTTGAATATTGTACTACAGTACGGACATCAGAAACCTGACCGAATGGATTACAGGAAATGGATCATTGCCTCATTCGAGTGTTCTGTTCGCTCACTTTTTCGAATGCTAAAAGATCTCGTTTATAGGTCACCGTGCAAATCCGTTGTAACGAATTCCCTTCCTTCCATCTTCTGTTTATGCAATGTCTTCTCGTTATCATCACGTATATTTGACACGGATCGATGTACAATAAGTAGGTCATTCGGTACAGTACAGTAAGCATGGAGATATATATATATATTTTACAATCAATGCAGTTCATTGTTATTGTATACGAGCACGGGGCTTCTGAATGATTACTGATGTTGTAGGTTCATTGCAGCGTGTCTCCACTTATCGACTGTTAACTGAACGTAAGCCGATTGAATGCGCACTTAACACAGAGGAGCGAAGGAATTGTGTGGGTTAAACTGACATCGTGGCACGTGGACGTGCAACGCATTCCGCTGTTTACAGACTAATAGTTTGACACATTTTGTATTTGCAAGTGACTAGACCCTAGGACTCCTATTATGCGCATATCAGCTTAATTTATTACTATATCTATTTGTGCATTATCATATTACACTGGTGTTGAATAGGGTGAACATTGACAGAGTAACCTATCCAAGTACAGCTATGTGTGATAAAGCTTGTTTGATGTACACGTTCAGTGTGATGATAATGCTGAAGCGAATGGTGTAGGCGTCTCTGTTGCTTCGATATTATCACTCTTTGTTCTTGTACCTGGACTGTTCAAAGCGGCGTCAAAACTTGAAACTCACTCACTCACTCACTCAGGTGTATGTGACATTAACACGGACGAAATACCCATGATGCTCGTTAAGGTGTTGTTGTTCACTTTGTTACTACTATTCCATTCCAAAGTGACCGCCTCCGTGGTGTAGTGGTTAGAGCGTCCGCCCGGAGAGCGGAAGGTCGCGGGTTCGATCCCCGGCCGCGTCATACCAAAAGACGTTAAAATATGGTACTTGTTGGTCCCTGTCTGGCGCTCGGCATTAATGGGTACAACAAGGACTGGTCGGCTCGGAGTCTGTCTGAGTGGGGTATTCATGCTTCACTGCGGCATGGTATCTCAGTGGGCTAGCACTATAAAACCAGCTTCAGTCTGGGCTAGTACAAGCAGCCGCACATACACATACACACGCATGCACGTCGTCATATGAGCGAAATATTCTCAAGCACGACGTTAAACCCAATTTCACCTCACCTCACCTCACCATTCCAAAGTAAAGGTGTCCATGGACGTTAATACTTTGGATATGGATTTAAGACCACACGATTTTAACATGATTATTTATCAACGCTTGAGTGATCAGTCTCGACTATCCTCCGACGTCCATTGGACATCAACAGCATGATGATGATGACAATTGAGTTATGTGAATGGGTAATTTGATAATCAATGACATATCAAGCGTGTAGTGCTCAACAGATAACTCTCGTCACTCACTATATAACATTCACAATATTGTATGCCATGGCACACTTTTCACATAAATGACATTTTCCAGTACGGCTTTTGATATATTTTAGTTGCATCGGGGTTTGAAAATATTCTACATCCAGTAGAAATAGCTACAACACTTCCGGTTCTCGTGCGACAATATCATTTTGTAATGAATAGCTGTTACAGCATATGTAGTCTATGTATCTGTGATACACATACTGCGATTGTTCCCATATTGATAATTGCATTTACAGCTATGGCAATGCATGTGTGTATGTATGTATTGGATGGACATTATGTTTCCGTAACCGTAGATCAGTTCCACGTCTTTAGTGAACACTGAACCATGGCCCGTCACTTGTATTACTTTAAGGTCATGTACAGCAAAGATTCCTGGCAGTTCCATAGCAACTTGCAGTGAGTGGGTTTAGTTTTACACCACACTCGGCAATATTCCAGCTATATGGCGGCATCCACTGGCAGTGAGCTTCAAGGTTAACCAATCTTGCCCTCAAATGGACCAGCATAGTCCGTATAGACAGGAACAAGTGCTATCCACTTGGAATGAGCTTCAAGTGCTATCAATAGCAACTTGCCTTAAAATGGACCAGCATATTCCGTATAGACAGAATCAAGTTCTATCCACTCGCAGTGAGCTTCAATTGCTATCATTAGCAGCTTGCCTTCAAATGGACCAGCATATTCCGTATAGACAGAATCAAGTTCTATCCAGTCGTAGTGAGCTTCAGTTGCTATCATTAGCAGCTTGCCTTTAAATGGACCAGCATATTCCGTATAGACAGAATCAAGTTCTATCCACTCGCAGTGAGCTTCAATTGCTATCATTAGCAGCTTGCCTTCAAATGGACCAGCATATTCCGTATAGACAGAATCAAGTTCTATCCACTCGCAGTGAGCTTCAACTGCTACCATTAGCAGCTTGCCTTCAAATGGACCAGCATAGTCGTATAGACAGAATCAAGTTCTATCCAGTCGTAGTGAGCTTCAATTGCTATCATTAGCAGCTTGCCTTCAAATGGACCAGCATATTCCGTATAGACAGAATCAAGTTCTATCCACGCGCAGTGAGCTTCAATTGCTATCATTAGCAGCTTGCCTTCAAATGGACCAGCATAGTCGTAAAGACAGAATCAAGTTCTATCCAGTCGTAGTGAGCTTCAATTGCTATCTATGGACCGGCATAGTCAGTATAGACCAGAGTGTGCCGGGTGTACATCCTCGAGCATTTTGGCATTATGAGACAGTGGAATGACTACTCGTCTGAAGTGAGTTGATCCTTGTCACAGTATACCGTTTCAATTCTTCCCCAGAAGCTTGATGAGACTAACCACTCTCTACCTTAATGGACACTTGAAAACACAGAGCCAGTTCTCGTCCATCACTTGATGTCATGTGAGTACTGTAGAACATTCCAGAGCATGAGTGTACCTGCCATAATTGGTGTTTAATGTACATGTGGAATATTCGTCATTGGTTTTCTACTGAGGCAACCGGCATTACCACGATGTACTGCTCCTTTGAAATAGGTTATATAGCCAAACACATATCGTCTCTCTATACTCAGAAACAATAGGTATTGTGACATGGGAGATTTTCCATTCTTATTGCATTTCTTACTGTAACCAGAGAAAGAGCGTGTTAAAAGGGGCGAAGAAACAGAACGAAGTAGTAGCTGCATGCAGTTGCTCAAATATTATACCAGTGTAAAATACACTCATTATACTCTCATTATTGCCTATAAATATTTGAGATTCTCTGATGTAATTATTAACTAAACCTAAATGGAATCGAAGTATTCATAACATTTTCATTAGAATATATCTACAAGCAAACCTAACAGTAGATGTGTATGTGGCAGATTGAACACTGACAGCTACATAGCAGGCTATAGAGACGTAAGATGGACACATCCATCAACGCCATCGCGCACGCTGACGGTCTATTCTATGGCGGTCGCAGTTGCATCGCCGTACAAGATATAGTTACGTAACAATACAGCAGCGACGTATCATCGGTCACGATTAACATTCAAGACAATGTACAATTCATTCAGTAAGGTATCACACAAAGTCAAAACATAGGAGGGCGATTACTATAAAAGCCAAGCATCTTCACTGGTCAGTACACAACACCACTGACAGTAAACTGCTTGACTGTAATCGTTGCTCTTCTTCTTATCAAGGTAAGAAACATTTACTTGTTTGTGACAAGAGGTAACATGTTTCATTTGATATAACTGTGTGTTATGTCCGAGAGGAACATTCACGTTCGCACGAGTCAAGAACTGCCGGACATACATGTGATCAGTGTTTGCCCTTAACCCTGAAAAGCTGCAGGCCGTAAGGACCAAGAACCATAAACAATTGTGGGTCCTGATCAGAATGTGTAGACCCTATATTTTAATATGGAAATACTACTCTTAGAATTTGGGGATGAAAAAGCTGACGGCCATAAGGACCTGCAGAAAACTAAAGCTCTGGTTCCGAGTGGTTTTCAGTCGGCTTCGGGCCTAAGGACAGACGTTAATTTCGAACGCTTCAAAGTGGTTTAAGTGCTTCAGTTTGTTCTTTGTTTAACGCCACACTCGGCAGATGTCCAACTATATGATGGGGGTCTGCACATGGTCGAGTTTGGATCAGACAATCCAGTGATCATGAGCATCGATCTAAGGAACAGACTGATTACTTTTCAATGCTCATCGTGGCCACTTTTTGAAGTATCTCACCTCTTTATGGTTAACAAACATTGTAATGAACAAGCTAAAAATGTACTACCATTGGATTACACAAGTCAGAGATCTTCACACTTTGAACATGGTCGCCTAATGATGCGGTCAAACACTCGCTTATATAATTGGTAAAGAGAGCTATGCTCTCAAATCCCGAAGCGTCATCCTGTATGCCCGCCCACGTCCAGCCTACTGCTGGTTGTAAGAGGCGATGAAACTGGATCGGCAGCAGAGGTTATCTGAAGTACTTATGCGTCCCATACTCTGTTTCACATTCCCTGAACCACAATATTACCTTCTGTCAAACCTTTCTGCAATGCAGTTGCCCTAAATGAAGCAAGTCTAGATTTCCCTAGATCTGAAACTGTGAGCACGGGGTGACCCCTTTTCAGTCTAAGTGGAGTTATTTGTTTCTATCATTTTTTATATTTTAAAAGACTCAGCGTTAGTCTAATGTGTGCCACTGTAACAGGAATTTTATTAAATGTAGTTCCTGGAAACGATTTTGTCTGGCAAGGGTTTTGTAAACGGATAGTCGTTACAAGACCTGATACCTGAACACAAGCACCTGCTAATGAATTACATAGTGCTGAAGCTTAATGGCACAATGTCACACATTTGCGACACTATTTTGGCCTATAGTTTATATATTTTGGCATAAGCACTCACTTTAGCTTACCATTGATGCAATAAAAAACGTATTATCCCTAACGACTTGCCTGAAATCGATAATTGAAACTCGAAGCGAACAGAGAACACTTGTCATATATGGAATGTAAACAACTGCTCCATGCATCGAAAACTGTCGCACGCGGTGTTGTCGGTGTTTGTCAAACTGGTTTCAATCAAAAGTGTGCGTAGGATATTCGTAAAGAGCGCTTCAAGGCACATAACTCTATGGGGTTCGCTTGAAATAATGTTCGGCCGGTAGAGGGCACGAGAGTCGATTTAATGCAACGTTGCATTAACTTCTTCGAACGTTTTAATTTAATATTGTTACGTACATAACACGTATTTTGGGGGGAATAATTATATGGTAGCTTCGAATTCCTTGAGGGCTGATAGTTAGTATTATTGGGAGAAATGCATTATTTATTTTTAGAGAAGTGTGGCGTGACATGGCGCATTTAATGCGTGTCTCTAGATATGCCTGCCCCCATGTGCAAATTACGGTTATAACCAACTCGAAGGGACCACTAAGTCTAGATCGCTTTATCCGTAGTTCGTTACATGCATTTTGACTAATATATACAGCATGTGGCCAGGACAAAAGCGTGAACGCTATATCCGACAGTTCGTTATAACCGTAGCTTACTGCAGGAACATGTTTGTCAATCCAGTAATTTAACGTTTTGTCTTGTGAGAGAAACAAATGCTTCTACTCATATTGAAAAGGAGCCCCTCGGTTAATGAAGATTCCGACCATTAGTATCATGCACATATAGGGCTGAGCGGAAAGAAACGAACATGATTCAGGTTCGTGAGACAGACAGTTTAAGCAGGACGCCGCGCAAGCCTAACACAAGCAGCGAGTACTGCGCAACGCTTCACTACCTATTGACGTACAGCATATGAATGCGCGCGATAGAGCGAACGGTGACAAACAGCTCTGTTTCCTTAAGCGTGACTTGGCCAGAGTACTTTGGTTGTGCACCGCCATCGTGCACCGCCATCGGACTTGCAGAACAGTTCGCTGCCTAGAGTATGGTAATTCGACATCGCTCCCATGTACACGTGAGTAGACTGCTATCAACTACTGAGTGCATCGGAGTCGGAGTATATATTTCGGATCTATTTGTGTGTTATTGTTTTACTCTGCTGTAGAAAAGGACTCGCGGGGAAAGTGTGGCATGCAGGTAGACATGAACGGATGTGTGAGGAAATTAGGTCACTGTGTAATTGTACGTACCTGTTGACAGAAACGATTATGCTTATATTCTGCGTGCAATACATATCTAACCTCCAAGTTTGTACTTTTACAAACACTGGTATCCGTGCATATATACATCAATTGTGATAAGTTTTTTATGAAATGTTTTTGTTACATGCCTTTATTACGTTCAGACAACTCAGATATTATGCTTCATATTTAGCATGTGTTTGGCAGAATATATGTGTTTTTAAAATAACAATGAAAAAGCACAGGGATTTATTTTCCCTTTCGTATGTTAGCAAAGCAATGGTAAGTCATGCCTCGCATGGATTTAAACCAAACTTTTGTACATATTCTGATGTTTGTAGTTCTAATTTTTGTCTAATAATTGTCCAACACCTAAGATACACTCTACCTAAACGCCAAATGATATCCTGAAATCAATATTGGTCAAATATCAGTTTGCTTTTTAATGTCACAGTGGCTGTTTTTGTTTATTGTTCAACGCCGTACTCAGCATTATTCCAACTATAGCTTCGCGGTCTGTACATAATTGAGTCTTGACCAGACAAGTCAGTCATTAACAGTGTGTGTGTGTTTGTGTGCACGCGTGAGTGCGTGTGTTTGTGACCCATGAATCGGTCTAACTGTTTTTGGTATTGATGCCTCTGGAGTATATTCCTAACTAAACACCAATGGTAGGTGTGAATGTGGCCTTATCCATTGAATGTATGTCAGTTTGCCATATCTACATATTCTCTGCCATATGCATTCAACGATATTCCAATAACGTTCAGTGCATCTAAATAAACAATATATATGTGAAATGGAAAACCTGTCGCCATCGACTGTCGTTCGCTGCATGAATAGAATATATTCGTAAATGAATACATATCATTATTCCGTCAACGTTGACACGATTTGAAATCAGTGAAATTGTGGCATTGAAAAATTATATTTGGATTGTTTGAGAAACATAATATTTGAATATTTGAAGCATAAAGGAAAGAAACTGTTGTGTACATGTTTAAATTTCATTTACAAAACAAAACAATTTCGCGAAAGGGTTGTATGCTTTGAAACCAGATGAGTTGTGGCAAGAAAATTTCATTGGCTGGAGCCTCATTTCAGACGTTTTTCATATTTCTGAACAGGTAACCAAATTCTTCAAAACAAAATGGTTAGTGCCTTACCGTACATAATTCGACATTATGATCTACATAGGTTATGCAGCACCGTAGGTGTAGGGTTGGCTATATGTGTCTTAAAGCTTCACCACGTAGGCTTTCACCTCACAGACAGGTCGAGATATAATACTGTTCAGACCGGCGTCAAACCCAACTCACTCACACGATATGGAGGCCCAGGCTAGATTTGATCTTCAGCAAACCATGTTTATCGGGAGAGAGCGGCCAGGTTCGTTAATACATGTCATCGTATCCGTATTTTGTAGATGGATGTTAAAGATGCGAGACACTTGATTGTCTTGTCCAGACTAGAATAGTTACAGATAACTTACAGAAAGGCAGTATTGGTGAATCTCGTCGTTGAATTTGCCAAATTATTGTAACGTATGCATTACATGTTCATGATTTCTTACTATTGAAATGTTTACAAATATATTCTCAACATTGTCACCGATGTTTGCAACGAAGAGACCAATAGATCATTAATAATAGCAGGATATGTTGAACAGTGTGTAATCTGAGTTTGTAATATAATTCACTGGAAAAAAAAAATCCATCTTTCCAAGCTTGGAAATGTCTTGGAAAGATGATGTTTCCAAGACATTTCCAATTTTGGAAAGATGATGTTTCCAAAAATTTCCAATCTTGGAAATATCCGCAAGGGGAGATAACTGGTGGGTGATGGTAAATTATTGTTCTGCATGGGCTAATTGCAATAGTGGCATGGGGCGGCATGAGTGTTTCATGGGGTCGTTAAGGCGACTGGCGGTAGTCTTTGATGTTTGGTGTTGTTTTAGTAATGATTGTTTAAGGGGTTAACGAAAGGATTATCGACTTGACTAGTCGAAATTGCAGTGAACACATTTTAAGTGTGAAAAGTGAATTTGTCACGTTGAGTTTAAATATGTATCATCATAAGCTTATATCTAGTCAGTGAGAGTTAATTTCGTACAAGGGCCACCGACCCGTTTTACAATTATAAAGATGAAAATACAATCCAGCGCCATATATAATATTAAGCTGCATGCTAACGTGTACAATGTCTAATTTAATCTTATACTCTATATTCAAAAACTTCGCTCTTTTGTCAATGTTTCACATGGATTATTTATGTAGTATTGTGGGAGAAGGCTGTTTCTCAGATCACAGTAAAATGAACATTCAATAAAGAATTGGTACTCTGATTCAATGGTAAGTACAATACACAGAGGGTAGAATCACTCATGTTGTTTTATATTTACTTTTCGCCCTTATTCCAACATTAAAGGATGGTCTGAACAACGAAACTTACTCAAAGCAAAACGAATCGTTGCGTTGCTGTCAATCGTTGCGTTGCCGTCCTGGGGGGTCGAGTGATGGTGTCACCATGCACTAATTTCCACCGGACCCCGCAGTTCGTGCTAAATCATTTAGTAAATGAGTTATGTTTGTGAGTGCGAAACAAGCGTTGTGGAAGCTTGGAACGATATCTTAAATTTGTCCAGATGCTTCGCGGAAGTTAAAGAATCAAACTACTTACTACTTGTAGTACAATATATATATGATTGATGACCAAACATATTTTCCATGACACAACTTGAAGTAGTGTTATATTGATTACCACCTCGCTTCCTCGAGAGAAATTGTTATGATATAAGATATGTCACGCAAATCCTATTGGACATCAATCAAATACATATTGTACTACCAGTAGAAAGTAGTTTTGATTTTGTAACTCGGTGAAAACAAACCTAAATAGCATTTATTCTCAGACTCGCGGATGTTCGCGACAGTGCGCTGCCATTTTTAATAATCGTAACATGACGGGCTAAAGTCTGTTAAAGAATTAATGAGATTATGGTTTGTTTTCATCAAGTTAGAAAAGCAAAACTACTTTCTACTCGTAGTTAAATATGTATTGGAATCATGGCCAACAGGATTTGGCATGACACAACTTATAACATAACGATTTCTTCCTCGGAAGCGAGGTGGGGGTCGAAGTGACATACTGCGCAATAAATATCTTGCTACATTCCCATGGTTAATGTCCACTCACCAGTATGTAGATACTAGTCAACGTGCGTCTTTCTATTTGGTCTTATAATCCTAATTAGTTTATTATCAGGCGATCTGCCTTTACTTATAACTTGAATATCTAGACATTGTAAATCATAATTCGCACGCACGCCCTAGTGTATGTTGTCTGTCTCATTACTTCACGACGAAATCGTGGATTCTGTGGAATGCTGCGACAAATGAATAAAAACAAAAAGCAATTATTAAAACTAAAACAGGTAGTTATAATGATGTCAGGCTATTACTTTGTTCGAGGAATGTATCCATCAATATCCACAAAAACGAGCCGTATGCCATTCACCTGCAGCTGTTCCAAATGATGTGTCTTTTAACAGTCTAATACATGTTCACGAAAAGTGATATATCGTTTCAGGTATTTCACATTGGTATATAGTCGCATTGGTCACCCAAGATAGCATACCTGGGAACTAATTGCATAATCTCCGCCATTCTTTACAAAAAAAAGTAATTTAGTTAGCCAATAATGAGAATCAATGTCTTGGCGGTTAATCCTTTGAAAGAAGGAAGTTGTTTTACGCAGACACAGACACGACAGAGTGTATTTAGTATTGATTAGTAAATGTACATACATAAACACTACCTTTTTGACAAATCCGTAAGATAAAAGTATGGGTTAATCCTTTGATCGATGTTTATACTGTTGAGTATTTACTCCAGACACAAGAAATGCAAAATGGGAACCTTTGTCGGGTTATCTAAGTGGTGTTACCACTAATTATACCTGTTATAAATTCATTAACTGACCATCAAGTGAATGATGACAAATGACATGTGTAGGTTTATACCACCTAACACGGGTTACAACAAGGGAGTATTAATTGCTGTACTGCATGCAATTTTAATTGCATGTGAAAACCTATGGGCCGACACTATTTTGAGAATACGGACAGAACTTCACTGTTGCAAAAGAAATACATATAAGCATTTGCTGTGTGCTAAAACTGTATTTACCTATTTACCTAAGTAAATTTTCAGAGTCTTCTAGCAATAGCAAAGTGCAAGGATGTGTTAAAAAGGAATAACGCAGTCAAACAGTTGCTGTTCGAATTGCATGAAATATGCAAAAAGCATGACATATTCAAGAACGATGTTTCCAATTTTGGAAATATGAGATTTCCAAAAATGTACAATTTTGGAAATGTCCACAAGGGGAGATAACTGGTGGGTGATGGTAAATTATTGTTCTTTGCACGCCCCAGGACCTAATCCCTTGTTGATTGATGAGTGAGTCAAGGCAGTTAAGAGTCACCAATTAACAAGGCCTACTGCCTTGGCCTTATGCCTCTTAAAGAAGTCTCTGGAAGTAAGTTAAATCTTTGATGGGCATTAAGAAGTGGAATGCATTACTGTGACCTGATTTTCACCTGATGAAGGAGCAAGCATAAGCTCCGAAACTTCGTGTTATTCACAATAAAGAAGTAGACATCCATAAATCTTGTTTTTCTTATTAAAAAGGTAAGTTATTAAAATCTGCTGAGCTGTAGGTTTGTTAATCATGTCGCGATGTGATTATCGCTTTAACACACCTGAGAGATTCGTCAACAGTGTGGTATGCACAGGCGGTGAAAATTGTATTGTATTACATTGGGTTGGTTGCA